ATTATCACGTGACATTATATCATGTGACATTAATCGTCTTACATGATGTCCGTTACAATAGATTGTTTTTACGGTTTTTACGGTGGTATCTTTTTGCATTGCTATCAAACGCGTCCCATTATTTTAGTCCACTTTTTAATATTGGACTCATTTCTAACTATGCCATAACTTTTGTTATTGTATTTCAGGGAAATGTTTCGTTCTGTCTTTGATTTTCACGATATTATTAATTGTCGTGAATGGCTCGGTTGTTACAGACAGCGAAGCATCCCAGTGTTCAATGCGGGATGCCCGTACTTGTCATCAATACGTCTCGATACGAAAACGCAACATAACGTGCCAAGTTTCCAAGAAGTTCAACAATTGTGATCAACTTTGTCACGCTGGGAAATGTAACATGTCATGCACGGCGCCGGACGATTGTCGGCAACGTTGCTATGCCGGTGCATGCGATTTGCTTGAATGTACGTCACGGAAATGCAGACAGCATTGCTTACGCAGCAAATGCAATCTGAAATGCAACAGTGAAGAGTGCAATCAGGAAAGTAACGTCGCTGGTTCTACGATGACTTGCAAGCCAGGAACCAAGCGTTGTTTGCAAACATGCAAAGCTGGGAAATGCATCATGAATTGCCCGTCTGGCGTCAAGTACTGCAAGCAAACTTGCATCTATGGAAGTTGCATCATGCACTGCAAGGCTCAAAAGTGCGCAAGATCGTGTAGGGAGGGAAAGTGCATTTATGACTCCAAACCACAGCSACCCCGCAGTAAAGTCTCGACTATCAAAAAATGCAATTATGGATATGTGAACAAGACGTGCTACCAAGAATGTATCCATGGTAACTGTGATATCATTACCAATGATGTCAATAGTAATAACAGTCAAATTTGTTTTGGAGGTCACTGTAACATGGACTGTACCGATAAACATAAGTGCACTCARGTTTGCATCGGTGAAGGATGCCCAAAGCTTACTTGTACATCGGGTGTCTGCCTACAAGAGTGTGTTCATGGAGGTTGTGAAATGGAATGCGTATCAGCAGATATATGCAGTCAAATTTGCAGAGGAGGGAATTGCTCAATGAAATGCTTGAACACACATACCAAGACCTGTCAGCAATACTGTACTGGGGGTAACTGCAAAATGCAGTGCAATGCAGAAAGGTGCATCCCAAGTTGTTA